CCTTTACAGAAACAGACTGCCACATCTTTCTACCTTGGAGCAGCTGGTGGTGTGGGACTCCTTGGGCTGCTAACTGTAAGGTCAGTAGTTCGAAACCACCTCGGGAGAAAGACAGGACTTTCTACTCCCATAGACAGAAACCCAGAGGGGCAATTCCACCCTGTCCTATAAGGTGGAGAAGAGTTGGCATTGACTCAAAGGCCGTGAGTCTGATTCGAAGGAACCCTGGTGGTGTAGTGGGCTACCCACAAGGTCAGCTGTTCTAACTCACCAGCTGCTGTGCTGGAGAAAGACGAGGCTGTCTATTCCCATAAAGACTTAAATTCACAGGGCCAGTTCTACTTTGCCCTGCAGGGTCTCTCGGAGTTGGAATCGACTTTGTGGCAGTGAATTTGAGTTTGTCCTTTGACTATCAGCCAAGAGTTTTCACCACAGCACCCCTGGGGATCCTGGGCAGGGGGTTGTCTCTGCTGCAGGGAGTGGGTTCCCTGGAGTCATCCGGGTCTCATGAGGCAAGAGAGAGAGGGTTAAAGAGGGAGGGGCTCCCTGAGCACTGTAGGGAGAGCAGCCACTCTGCCTGGAGGGACTAGCGACAGCCACCCCACGGGGGATGAGGGTCTGCCTTCCTGGCTGGATCTGAACATAGGTTCTGGGCATGGGGTGGCCCCCCTGAAAACTTCTGTCTGGGGACCCCTTGGAGTCATTCTCTGGGGGCTCAGATGGTCTGAGCAGGGGCCTGCATTCTCCTCACCTCCCCCCTGCCTGGGGGCACCCCGCTTTCCATCCCAGATCCAGAGCACAGAATGGCCCTGATTGTGCACCCCCATATGCCTTGCTGCCATATGGCAGGGCTGCTGGCCAGCCCCAGGGGGCCTCCCCCACGCACATGTCCCTTCAGTGTGGGGAGCAGACCAGTGTGGGGAGCAGACGGCTGCCCGCTCCTGCCCCGTGAGGCTGCTCTTGTGGAAAGTAGAAACAGATGCAGGAATGCAGCTGCTGCCCTGGGGCAGGGAGAGAGGGACCCCCTGGGAGTCCTTGCCTTGTACCTCTGGTCTCCAGACCTGGGGGAGGAGCAGGGTTGGGGGTGCTCCTTAAGGGAAGGTGGCCCTCCTGACCTCAGCTGCGAGGCCACAGGACCTGGCTGGCGGTGCCAACTGTGGAGCTGTGGCTGCCAGGAGGAGGCCTGAACTGCGGGCTCTGGATGCCCAGGATGAGTGTCTTCCCAGCCCCGTGCTGTTGGGTTGCTGACCACCAGGTCCGTCGTTCAAACCCATCAGCCATCCCTCAAGAGTAAGACGAGGCTGTCTGCTGCTATAAAGATTACAGCCTCGGAAACCCACAGGGAAAGTTCTTCTTTGTCCTATCAGGTGGCTAGGGGCCCGAGTAGGCTCGATGGGCCTGGGTTAGTCTGTCTTCGTCGGGAAGCTCGGCCCAAGCCTGTCCACCACGAGTCACCCTGCTGGTATGTCACAGGCTTTAAACAAGGGGAGCAGTCTCACAGTCTGGGTGTAGCTGGTTCTAGGTCAGGGTGTCTGCGGGGCCATGCTTTCTCGGAAGGCTCTGGGCTCTAGAGTGGAGTGAGAATTCTTCCCGATCTTCCAGCTGCTGGCAGTCGGTCTCCGGCCCTGTTCTTGGCTTGCATCTGAGACAGTTCCCGCCCTCTGCTGTCACCACGGCTGTCTTCCCTATCTCCTCCAGCTCTGAATGGCACCAGTCGTGAAGAGACTGAGGCCTACCCTCCTGACCTTAGCTGATGGCTCAGGGCTTAAGCCCTGGTGGTCCAGGGTTTAGGCATTGGGCTCCCAACCACTAAGTCAGCAGTGCAAAACGACATAGTGCTCTTCGGGGGAAAGAGGAGGCTTTCTACTCCTGTTCAGAACGATCATGATCCCAATTCTGCCTTGCAAATCTGGCTAGACCAGAGGATGGACATTGGTACAGGTGGCAACTGGAAACACAGGGAATCCAGGATAGATGACTTCTTCAGGACCAGTGGTGAGAGGGGTGAGGCCTGGAGGGTGAAGGGAATGTGGAGTAGAAAGGGGGAACCGATTACAAGAATCTAAGTGTTGCCTCCTCCGTGGGGGAGAGACAGTAGAGAAGAGGGCAGGGAGAGACGTTGAACAGTATAACTTATGACAAAACTAAAATAATTTATGAATTATGAAGGGTTCATGAGGAAGTGGGGAGGGGGGAGGGAGGGGGAAAATGAGCAACTGATATTAAGGGCTAAAGTGGAAGGCACGTGTTTTGAGAATGATGAGGGCAACAAATGTACATATGTGCTTGACACAATGGATGTATGTATGGATTGTGATAAGAATTGTACGAGCCCCCAATAAAATAATTAGAATTAAAAAAAGAATGACAGTCTCGGAAACTCACAGCAGCAGTTCTACAGGGTCAGGTCTACTCTGAACTCGAGGTTTAATTTATCTAAATTTAACCTATAATTTAATAGGTAACATCTTTGAAGGGCTAGTCCACAGGTCCTGGGGTTTAGGATGTGGCCATATATTTTCAGGGACCCAGTTCACCAGTAAGAGTGAGTGAGAGGTGAGAGGGGCGGTGTACTGACAACTGGTTCAATGTACGACCGTAACTCCTAGTGAGGGCCATAGGTACCAACCAGAAGGTTGGTGGATCAGAGTCGCCTCACGCCTCCATCTGAGAAAGACCAGGCTGTCTGTGGTCCTCAAGAGGACAGTTGTTGAGGGTTCTAACCAAATCAAGCAGAATTCACTGCCATTGAGTCACTGCCGGCTTATAGCAACCCTATAGGACAGGGTAGGACTGCCCCTGTGGGTTTCCAAGGCTGTACCTCTTTATGAGAGTAGAACGCCTCATCTTTCACCCAATGAGTGACTGGTGGCTTCGAACTGCTGGCCCCACAGGGCTCCTTGGAAAACCCTCTAAGGGCCGTTCTTTTCCGCCCCAGGAGTCGCTGTGAGTCCACATGGACACAGTGACACCCTACAGTGACGCCAGTCGTGTTGAGAGAAAAGTCATGTTAAGCCAATAAGGGGAATTGGTAGACATTTATCTAACAGGTGTTTGTTAGGTACCGTCTAGTGAGTTCTGGGTCGGTTACTTAAGTAGGGTCATTCCGTCATGTTGCAAACCAGGGTCAAGTTTTGACTCGCTCTTGTCAGGTGTTCCAAAACAGTGCCTGGTCCCCCCTGTGCACGCGCTTGTGGCCAGGCTTGAGCCTGTCACTGCGGCCACAGTGTCCGCCGTCTCCTGGAGGGCCTTCTGGTCTGTTGCTTTTTATCCAGCAAGACATCCTTCTCCTGGAACTGGCCCGTGTTGAGAGCGCGGTCCAAGTATGGGAGCCTGAGTCTCGCCACCCGTGCTCCTGAGGCACAATCTGGCTGGACTTCGTCCAGGACGATTGGTTCATGCCTCTGGCAGTCTGTGGTATGTTCAGCATCCTTCACCAGCGCCATCATTCAAAGGCATCCGCTGGTTTGACATTTCGACGAGGGAGTCAGAAACATTCCAGAGATGAGACAACCTCCCAAGACTCTCACACCCCACCCCACCAGCACTGTCATGGCAACCGAGTCAGAGCAGTGTGTTTATAACAACAACGTACCCCACAGACAGCGCGCGCTTCCGCAGACGGGCGTTCCTCTTTCTGGGCTCTGCTGCGTGCCTCCCAGGACCCCTGGTGGTGTAGTGGTTCCTCGATTTGCGGCTAACCCCAAGGCCAGCATTTCAAAACCACTAGCTGCTCTGCGGGAGAACAACGAGGCTTGGAGAGTTACAGTCTCGGAAGCCACGGGGGCAGTTCCACCCTGTCCTGTAGGGCCTGCTGTGAGTCGGGGTGGACTCATGGCGGGGAGCTTGGTTGGTTTGAGAGGCGGTCGCCTCTGACGCACAGTGGCCTCACGTACGACAGGGTGAAGCCCTGCCACCCCGGCCCCATTCCCGGCGTTGGTCGAGTTGATGGTTGAGCCTGCGGGTGCAGCCTCTGTGCCCGTCCATCCCACGGAAGGGCTTCCTCTCTTTCTGCCAGATGCCCCTTTCCGGGGACCGGCCTCTCCAAAGTACGTGAGCCCAAGTCTCACTGCCCTTGTTTCTGAGGAGCATTCTGGCTGTACTGCATCCGAGACAGAAGTGCTTCCTGGGCAACCCTGGCTGCCTGTAGCTCATTCTCCTGGAGAGCCGAGGCCCAAGGCAAAATGTTCGCCACCCAGCAGCTTGCTGGGTGTTTTTGAGCGGCTGGTGACTTTAGGAAACTAGCTTCTTTCAGGCTCCAGGCGC